CAACAACAGCCACACCCTGGGAGCCCGCCTGCCTGGCGGGGTGGAGTGTCGCTTCAAGCGAGGCCCAGCCATGGCCTGGGAGGGGGAGCCTGTGCGTCACGTCCTGGGGGGCAGCCTCGGGGACCCCAGAGCCCGGACTGTGTCGGTGCCCCTGGGCGGCCGCGTGGCCCGCTTTTTGCAGTGTCGCTTCCTCTTTGCTGGGCCGTGGCTACTCTTCAGTGAGATCTCCTTCATCTCTGGTAAGCCCTGATGTCGGCCTAATCCCCAGCTCCGGGCTGCCAAGCACAGGCCCCGAGATACCCACCCCTGGCACCCACCACCCAGGAGACTTCCCAAGCAAGGGGTCTCCCAAGTGATTGCAACCCTCCCCCTCCCACCTGTCTGCCTGTCTTTGGTGAGACCCCCAGCACTGATGTTGAGCCAGTATGACGCTGGCTGCTAAACACCGAAACACTGCTGGTTGGGAACTAGCCTCTTCTCTGAGCCCCTGGATATTCCCACAACCCAGCACCTAAAAGGTTAACGTCCACCACAGCCAGGCCTCCAGAGCCCGGCCCCATCCCACCTCCGGTTCTGGTTGGTTGGGACATGTGTTGAGTGTCAGCCTGTTCCCACTGGCCTCCTCCCTGGTTCTGCAGTCCCTGCCCTACCCTGGGCTGCCCGGTCTGCCTCCCTTTCTTGTCTTCCTTCTCCCCAGATGTTGTGAATGAGTCCTCCCTGGCTCTGGGGGGCACCTTCCCACCAGCCCCGTGGTGGCCACCTGGCCCACCTCCCACCAACTTCAGCGGCTTGGGTGAGCAGCCTGGGCCTCCTTGGGGTGGGTCCTGTGCTCCGCTGCCCCGGGCACCCCAGCATGGGTGGGGAGCCTCCTGCTGCTCTGACCCTCATGCCCCCCCAGAGCTGGAGCCCCGGGGCCAGCAGCCCGTGGCCAAGGCAGAGGGCAGCCCGACGGCCATCCTCATCGGCTGCCTCGTGGCCATCATCCTGCTGCTGCTGCTCATCATCGCCCTCATGCTCTGGCGGCTGCACTGGCGTCGGCTCCTCAGCAAGGTGGGCGGGGCTCCGGCTCCTCAGCGAGGTG